TTACCGGGGATTGAACTCAGGACCTTGCAGTTGAGAGGTAGGCAGTGGACCCACTGAGCTAAATCCCTGGACCAAGCTTAATTCCCTTCTGAGCTACAAAATAAACTGTAAATTTAAAATAGGAAAGTGACCTATCCTTACTAGTGTAGGAAAAATAATACAGATCAAGAAGTATAGAAAGTATTTTTATATTTCTTATGTCCTCCTGTCCATGCCATAATTAGTTTTGCTTATAAAAAGGCATTTCATCTTTGTAATTTTTAAAAACCACACAAAACTGAACTTTTTTCCAAGTCTTACTAGCATTGTTAAAATACTTTAACAACCACAACTTAAAAATGCATGATATTTAACTTCTTAAAATAAAACAATGGTTCCATAGATGTCAATCTGTTGCTTTCACATGCCCAGGACCTGTTCCCCCTGTCTGCTGATCACATCTCCTTGACTTCTGTTGAAGATTCTATCAGTCAAGAATTTATTTTCTTTCTTTTTTGGTACCAGAAATTGAACTCAGGACCTTGCACTTGCAAAGCAGGTGTGGTGCCACTGAGGTACAAGATATACTGTTAGTGAATCAAAAGTTAATTACTAAAGTTTCTTGGACCTACAACATCTTGACTCTTAATTTCTTTGAACATGAACTTGAATATCATGCGACAAGGGTTCATGGCTCACCAGGTCAGTAATGACTGGCTGGATATGGACCCTGTTACAGCGTGCTGTCTCCAGGGTACAAGCTGCAGCCTCTGGGTTGACATCAGTGCACCTACAAATAGAAAAAAAAGAAGAAAACCTATGTCTGTGAGGCAAATCTGTTATGGAATAACTCATGGAGTGTCTTATTAGTGTTTCTTCACAGACCAGATGCAGAAAGAAGAATATTTTAATAATGGGAAAGAAAATGAGAACATTTACAAGTGACAAAATGATTATACTGAGCAAGAGAATACACATGCGCGCACACATCTGAAGGAAATTATTTAACTATGATACTCCAAAGCCACCAAAAATGAAATTTAAAAGAAAATCTTGTTATGAAAGAGCCTATAAATGAAAAATAGGAAATGAAAACAAAAATGAAGGAAACATAACTTGGATTATGTGTGTGGTAAAATTTATTGGTGACTTAATTTTTTTCTCAAATTTTCTATGAAGAAATTTAAGTAACTTTCCATTTTTTTGATAGTCAAATTATTTACCTAAAAAAGATTCAAATCTGGAAATGACCTAAAAATATGTTGCTTCTACCACTATAAAGTATGAAAGGACAGCTTTGACAATGTAATCATAATTTTTAAGAATGCATAATTTCTACTCTGAGTCTTTACACTTTTAGATACATATCATCTACCTAAAATAATTGTTTTGTTCAACCATTCATAGTGAATCTCAGTAGACAACCAGATGAACATACTCTGGTTCCTTGGTACTGATCCTTGACTTTGGAATGTGTGATGAGTACTAAAAACAATGAATGCGAAAAATACTGTTTGGGCTGGAAAGGGTGAATCAGTAGGCAAACGGCACTGACAAATTCTAGTTTCTGCATCAAG